CAAATAAGTTACACAGTTAGTAAGTGACATTTCTAGAAGTCAATCTCGAAAGCTTTCCTTATAAACCTCCATACTTTACAGCTTCAAAATTCATGGAAATTTATGGGTGCGTTTCCAGGAGCTCATGTCTGGGAAGAACAACTTTGGCCTTCCATACGGCAGTGGTAGGAAGAGTCAATTAAAAAAATGTAATGATGCACTATGATATGAAGACATTCTGCTTCCTGTGAATCCCAGAAAACTGGAGTTCTCGTGCAGAGGTCTTCATGTTTGGAATTTCATGTCTACAAACTCCTATAGGAAAGCAGGGCATCTTAGAGGCGCCATTTCTAACTAGGATTTAGGAAAGTCAAATGTTAAAGCATTGGAGGCAGCTGTGAAGGCAAAAGAGCAAGAGACTTCGCAAGTGTCCCAACGAACTTTTAGGTTAAACAGAAATACTAGAGTGGGTGTACAAACCAGTTATAAAAGGAAAGCTTTCTCTTGGTGGGTAAGAATTGTATTTACGTGACTCTTGTGCCTTGTCTCAGCAGAGCTTAATCTCCTTTCCCTCATGGCTGCATTCCTGTCGTCTGCCCAGCCTCTAACTGCCTTGCTTCTGACAGGAGTTGGTTCATTGAGACTCAGAATCTCCTTAGCAGGTCTCTCCTTAAGACAAAATGTGGAACTAGCCCTCCCTAAGAATGGTTCTGCCACTCTGGAACCTAATAGAAGATTCAAGCTATGCCATCCCATAGTCTGCTATGGACCATAAAAACATAGTCAATGTTTCAGTGTGGACTTTACACATCAGTAAGTAACTGAGTGAGCACAAGAGAATGTGCCGTGTACTGGATGAGGATGTCATGGAGACAGAGTGGCCAAGACAATTACAATTGAAAGGTTCACAAAACCATGAAGAATTCCATGATTAAAGTAAGATTGCTCCTCCGTCCTAAAATTTGGAAATGAGATGGTTTTTTTTTAAACTTCAAACATTAAGGATAAGAAAAGGTCTGTATTAACTTTTACACCAAAATATCAAACATATGGGAATAAAATAAAATGACATATAGAATCTTGACTTAATATGAAAATTATAAGAAAAAGATTCACAAATTCAAATCTACAAAAAAAATGTAACAGTGTTTAAAATTTGAACAGCTTTTCTGTTAACTAGCCTGTCATTAACCAAAACATATTTTTCTGGAATCATCTCTATATATTTTTGATACAACATAAATAAACACTTATGATTATTATTCATTTGAGAACCATCTATCAACCTCCCATGCTAGGCACTGTGAATTCAAAAATGATTTTCATTTCTCTGCAGTNAATATATTTTGAAAAATAAAAAAGGTATATGGCTATAAATATAAAAATGCTTGTAGAAAAATTATTGCTTCATTTTGCTAAGTGGAATTTTCTTCTACTTAATTTTTTCCCTTAAAATCTGAGTTAAAATTCACTCACGTGCTTTTTTCTTAACTTTTGAAACTATGAAAGAAACCCTCTAGTATAGAAATACACACTTTGCACACATACAGCAAATACATATAAAGTATTTTATGTAAAATTGTACAACTGTTGTAGAAACATTTGGGCAGTTCCTCAGAAATTTAAACATAGTATTATCATATGAACCAACAATTCCACTCCTAGGTATATAATTGAGAGAATTGACAATATATGTTCACACATAAACTTGTAGATGAATATTCATAACAGCATTATTCATAACAGCCCAAAAGTAGAAACAACCCAAATGTCCATCAACTGATGACTGGATAACAAAATGTGCTATATTCTTCCAATGGATTTGGCCATCAAAAGGAATGAAGTACTGACACATGCTACAACATGGATGAACTTTGAAAACATTATGCTTGAGTGAAAGAAGTCCCATACTATATGATTCCATGTATATGAAATGTCCAGAATAGGCAAATCCACAGAGGCAGAAAATAGATTGGTAATTGTCAGAGGCTGGGGGAGGGAAGGGGAGGTACAAGGTTTCTTTTTGAGGTGATGAAAATATTCTGGAATTAGATAGTGGTGATGGCTGCACAGCATTATGAATATACTAAAAACCACTGAATTATAATCTTTAAAAGAGTCAAATTGGTCAATTTTATTTTGTTAACTATATCTCAATTTAAAAAGAAAAACTATTTAGACTCAAAGAACTCTATACTTTGATAAAAGATCTCTTTGGCTCAAAGAATTGAAACGTCTCTTCTTAAAAATTTTGGCTTCTCTGAAGACCTGTACCTATGAGAATTGGGTAGAGAGAAGAAAACTGGGAATGTTGGATATTACAAGCTATTTTTAAATTTCTGGGTAAACTAACTCAATGCTGTAATTATGGGGCCTAGTTTTCCAAGTAAGTGGTAGAACAACATTCCATGATACAGTTTCAAAATCAATACAAACAGAATCGCTCTGAGTGCCCAGATCTTTTCACATCCCCAAATCCATCATTTTAAAGGTTTTTTAGTTGCATTCTAGAAGCAAGTCCCAGTAAAACAAATTATTGTTTTGGAAGGAACACACAAATTGGTTTAAATCATTCAAAATGCACTCAATATTTGAAAGAAATAGGAAACACAGTAAAAAATTAAAGAAAACCAGAGATATTTGCATTTAAACCCCAAAATAGATACACGATGCAATCAATCTCCACACATATTGTGATTAAGGGTGCATAAAGTGGGATCTTATTAAAACAGAGTATTTCTGTGGTCACCTTTTAGAGGAAAAATGCCTGATCACAGATCATAGTCCTAACACCTAAGAGTTTCTCAGTGCATTTTGATTGGATGGATGGATGATGAATAGATGAGTGGATGGATGGATGGATGAATGGATGGATGGATGGACGGACAGATCAATATGCAGAAACCTAACTGGTCTCCCATTAGTCGGTGGGACTGCCCAATGTGAAAGGACACTGCTATACTGGGAGAAGCCAATGAAGTCTCATCACCATACACTTAGTTAAAACATCATCCCTCTAACCTACCTTCTTACAAATAAATAGCTGCCATCACATGGGACTGGCCAAGGCAGTGTGTTTCCGGGAGTGTGTTTCTATCACTACTTAAAAAGAAAAGACCAGAAAAAAAGAAAGAAAGAAAAAGAAAAACATCCCTCAACAATCCAAAGTGCTATGTCATAAAAGTATATGCATACAAATAGCTTTGGGAGGTTGCCTACCTCGGAAATGTGTGCAAAAGTTGTGTGCCTTGCAAAAGACATGACTTGTTTTGCCATCTGTTATTCTAAGAAGGGGGTGTTCTCTATAGACTGATGCATCAAAGCCCCCTCAGCCCCACTAAGTGGGGGCGTGGCCAGGTTTGCATCCCCTGATCCTGTCTCCCCAGCCACATGGAAAGGTTGAAGAAAACTACCTGAGTCAACCCAGACTTAGTGACACAGAACTCTGACTCTGGGCTGCAGGGTGGTACCAAAAGCTAATCTGAATCAGTCCTCTTGGAAGGCTGAAATTGGGAAACTGAGAAAAGAAAGGGGGGATGAGGGAGGAAGGATGTATCAGAGGTGCCCTGAGGTAGAGTCGGGCATTAGAAGAAGGCTGAGACAGGTAAAGGCGAACTGCAAGGCTGAACTGAGAAGAAACAGATGGGCTGAATAACCCTACAAAACTGTTTTCAAGAGAGGAAAAGGCAAAAAGACAGACAGAGGCTGTTATGAGAGGATGAAAGACCAGCTCTTTCCCGAGGGAGGCCCCATTCCTGGTGTGATGCTACTTAAGCAAACTGACCTGTGCAGTGGGTCCAAAGGCCATGACACCCCAACAGGGACCTCACGTGCAGTTCCCCCACAAAGGGAAGCTGAACATAAGCACCCTGGGCCTTTGACGTCCCCTAGCTCACCAGCCCAAGTAAGGTCCACAGGCGCTTTCCCAGTGTGTATTTATATTGGTGATTTCCAGCATGGATATTCAAGAAATATGACTGTTCTCTTTCTTCAGCTCCCTGGGATCATTTTCTTCTTCACTCATGAAAATTCCTGAACTCCATTTCCCCTGAGACTCCTTATGAGTCCCTGCCCAATGTTTTGCAAATGCTAGGTCTGGGAACAAGATCTGAGGTCTTCCAAATCATAATCTCTACCATGGGGAATTTGTTTTCTCTGCAACCCAATCTTGAAAAGGAGTACACCCTGCTGGGGTTCTCATCGATTGGGGGTTGGGGGTGAGCAATGATCAAGATGGGAGGACCAGATAAATCAGAGGCTGAGCATCAGAATCTTCTAGTCACAAAAGATAGCAGAAGTACAATATCTTCTGTTTTCCCAAGTAACATGAAGTCTTTGAGTGCTTTTCAATAATAATGTTTTTTTGTTCTTTCTGTAAAACAACTTCCTGTTAATGCAGTGACTACATGTTCTTTCCTTTTAACCTTCTGACANTTTTTTTTTTTTGCTTTGAAAATACCTATAATAACTTGCATCACAAAAATAATTGGGTGGATCCCAGCTGGAGAGGAGAGACAGACAGAGATGTGCTCACTAGAATGATTTAAACCAGTCCAGTTATCTAATCAACCTGAGTTATAGGCAGCCCATAGAATTTCCCAGAAAGGCCTGAGGTTGGGTTTAATAGCGTAGCTTCTTTAGTGAGAAGCACAAGAAAGAGATCTTATTACAGAATGTTCTTGGCTTATCTTTTTCCGAAGTTAAAATGTTCAAATTTAATCTTATACTTCTTCATATAATCATGAAATGGCACATCTGCTTCCTGCCCCCCTCCAAAAAAGGTTTTTAAGAAAGGGTTATATTATAAAATAAAGAACTCACCAATGCCAACTGAAGGCAGTTGGGTAAGTTGTCTTGACTATACAATATAAAAGAAACTTTAGGGTTCATCTAGCCCAACCCTTCATTTTACAGATGAGAAAACAGAATCCCAGAAAGTAATTTGTTTAAACGTATAACAAAAGTAAGGCATTTAATAATGTGAATTTTCAACATGCGACCAGAGCTAATTAATGTACTTACCCCATATACATGTTGTAGAGAAAAGACAATAAGTATGAGTGACCTACGAAAAAGCAAAAACACAGATGAAACTGTTCGTTTTCGTGCAAACCAAACTGAACGGAAAAAGAACAAAGGAATCAATTCCAGAAAGCTTCTTTTTTATGTCTAATAAGTTGCTGTCACCAGCTGATTGTCATGAGTGACAAGATAAATGTAATCATCTCTTGGGCTGTCTTCATTACCATGCCCCTTATTAACCAGTCAAGTAGTGCTCACACCCCTTCAGTGGGGTCCTCACTGTGCTGCGTACCCATGACACCGAAGGTGAGACCTGGTTGAAAAGATGAGGGAGGGAAAGGGCTCTTGGAATGAAAACCAGAGGAGAGAGTGAAGGAGGCAGCTTTGTCCAGGCACAGAGCAGAGACCAGTGTATCCTGGATGCTATTAAGTGGAGCCAACTGGAAGGGGGGAAGCATGGAAGGAAACCTAACTGGACTGGGAGACGAGGAAAATAATATGGACTCGTTAGGGTAGAGGTAGGTAGTTCAGGGTCTTATAAGTGAAGCAGAAATCCAACTGGAGTAACATCATTATTATAAACAAATTTTGACAGAGAAGAGATGCAACCGAAAGAGACTGCTGTATGGACTGAATATATGTGCCCCACCCCCGATGCATATGTCGAAATCCTAACCCCCAGTGTGATGGTATTAGGAGGCAGGGCCCATGGGAGGTGATTAGGTCATGAGACTGGAGTGCTCACAAATAGGATTAGTGCCCTCACAGAAGGGACCTCCGAGAGCTCTCTCGCCCTCTTTCCACCATGGAGATACAACGAGAAGTCAGCAGCCTACAACCCAGAAGAGGACCTTCACCAGCACCGACCATGCTGATACCCTGATCTCGAACTTCCAGCCTCCAGAACTGTGAGAAATAAATTCCTGTGGCTTATAAACCACCCGGTCTGCAATATTTGTGCTAGCAGCTGGCAGTGGCTAAGACAACCGCTAACATTCACATGCGTTTACTTCAGTCTTCTATTGGTCCAAGAGCTTTCCTATCCACCCTTAACACAACTAGGATGAAGTTGGGGCTTTAGGTCACATCATCCCCAATGGTGGGAGGAGACCCAGTCCCAGCCTGGTCTGTCATTTCTCTGTCAGCCTTGTCCTTTGTTCTGTGTGGAGTCATCACCTGTCTGAAACCTCGCGTCCTAAATAAGCTTTCCTTCTCTACCCTCCACTCCTTCCTCTTGCGCTCAGAGGCTGATAAACACCATAGAAATCTGCAGAGCTATCATTTCCCTGGGACACCCTGACTAGCAGACAGAGAGGGGGACAGGTGTGGCCCGCACTTAACTGGCTGACACACTGAAGTCCCCCTTCCAGACCCTTCCATTGGAATTCACGACCGTTCCAATAGAGGCCAGGTTGGCATTTCAGCGAAGTCACTATGTAAATTAAGAGAATTAAAAAACAACAACAACCACAAAATGAAAGAGGGTTAAACACTGGGAATAAATTGTTTTAAATCAAGTTAAAGTATTTACAACTATTATTTGTTGATTGGGTCCTTACCACTTTGGACATTTGTAAATGAGAATATGTTACATTGTAGAGCAGTTTTGGCCTCCATATATACAGTCTCGTTAAAACTGAAGTAGGGCACATTTTTTCCACATTTTACACAGGAGAAAACTGGCTCCAAAATGTTGGTAACGTGCTCAAAAGGTCGCAGGCAGAGTGGCATGGTCAGGTCTGAACCCCGCTACTGTCCCTTTCCCCTACCTCTGCTGCTTCCTCCTGCTGCTGTATAAATTTAAAAATAAGACAATTCTTTCTTTTCTTCAAAGAACCATTCAAAATTAGGATCACTTTGCAGTTTTTTCCACTTCCACCCCAAACAAATACGACTTGACTGCATCTCTGAAATAAATGAACCCCCTTTTCACCACCCTCTCCTCCCTCAATGCCCGTCATACATGGTCACCAGCTTCCAAACTTCTATAGTTTTCACTGTTGAACCCTTCTCGCTGTTGACTTAAATCCCAATGCCCTTTTCGGTCCCTTCTAACAGTCTCACCTTAGTTTCCTACTTCTGCTGAAACACATCATCACAAACTCAGCAGCTTAAAGAAACACAAATTTTTTTCTCTTATGGTTCTGGAGGTCAGAGGTCCAAAAGGGGTCTCCCTGGTGAAAATCAAGGTGTTGGCTGTGTTCCTTCTAGCGGCTCCAGGGGAGAATCAGGCTCCTGCCTTTTCAGATTCTAAAAGCTGCCTGCAGCCCTTGGCACACGCTGCCTTCCACCTTCAGATCAGCGACGGAAGGTCAAGCCTCTCTCTTGCTACATCTCTCTGACCTCTGCTTCCTGCATCACATCCCTTCTCTCACTCTCAGTCTCCTGCCTCCTTTTACTTCCAAGGACCCCTGTGATTATGGTGTGCCCCACTCTGATAATCCGTAGTCTCCCCATCAAAAGGTCAGCTGACTAGCAATCTTAATTCCATCTGCAACCTGGTTCCCTCTTGCCATGTAAGATACTCACAGGTTCCAGGAATTAGGACACACATCTTTGGAGGGCGTTCTCCCGCCTACCACACTTGTAACGTGCATTGTCCTAACTCTCCTAGTTACATGGACTCTGCTGCTTAGGGCACATAGGAAGGTTTTTGTTATTCGAACCTAGTGAGTCAGAGAGCAAGAAGCTGCAGCTTTTTAGATGAGCTATTATGTGGATGCAATTCAGGGAGAGGACTGGTGTTTAACAATCAAAGTGAGTTGCAAAACGGCAAGCATAATCCATAGATTTCTGGAGCGATTTGGCTTTTTGACATATGAAGCATTAATATAATCGTACCTATAGAACCAACACTTAGGAGACATTTTTAAATAAAAGCAAGTGATCACACCAAGACACTCACCAGGGATCTGTGGCCAAGGGCTTGATCCACCTGAAAGAGCATCTTCCTAACTCCAAGCACATGGCTCACTGCACAGTCAGCCTGGGCGCTTGAAGAAACTCTGTCAGTCTTCTCTTCTCTTCCAGATGTCTCCCATTTATGAGTGAGGCTCTGTGTCCTAGATTTAAAGTCTGTATGTGTTAAATACAAATATTCCTCTTAATGGATTATAATGTTAAAAATAATTACTTTCATTGTTCATAGTTAGTGATGAAGATATTTCCCAAAGGGNATATGATCCAGCCATTTCACTCCTAGGCATTTATTCAAGAGAAATCAAAATGCAGGTTCACACAGAGCCTTGTACAAAAATATTCACAGCAGCTTTATTTGTAATAGCTCCAATCTGGAGACAGTTCAAAGGCCCAACAATAGGTAAATGTTTTTTTTTAAAAAAAAGCAATATCCATACAGTGGAATACTACTCAGCAGAAGAACAAACTGCAGATACACAAAACATGGATCCAACTCAATATTGGTCTGCTGAGTCCAAGAAGCCAGACACAAAAGGGCACATGCTGTATGATTCCCTTTACATAAAACTCTAGATCAGCGGTTCTCAACCTTTCACAGGGGTCGCCAGAGACCATCGGAAAACACATATTTTTGATGGTCTTAGGAACTGAGACACCGTTCCTCTATCCATCTCCAGGCCCACATGCAGATATGCCCACATATGAGTACCTGGCTGACCCCTGTGAAAGGGTCATTCAACCCCCAAAAGGGTCGCCACCCACAGGTTGAGAACCGCTGCTCTAGATAATGCCAACTGATGTACAGAGACAGAAAGCAAATCAGTTGTTGCCTGGGAGTGGCGGTGGAGGGAGGGATGGACTGAAAAAGGCAAAAGGCAGCAAGAGAAAAGCTCAGTATGACTGTGGTGTTGGTTTCACAGGGTCAACGCATCTACAAAACTCCCTGAATTGGGTACTTTAAATGGATGGAGGTTTTTCTACATAAATTATACCTCGATACATTAATTTTTAAAAAATTAATCTCCGTACCTCCCCTCAAAAGGCCTTGTAACCCAGAAAAATAAAATGTGTGACAGTTTCTGTAGTATATACTAAAGGTTTGAACAAAGGTCTTCAGAGACCATAACCTTTGACCTTTGACCTAGATCTGAAAATATAGGTGGTTGTACCAGAGAGACTAAGGCGGAGGCCCCTGAGGTGGAGGGAACAGCAGGTACTGAGACAGGCACGAGCTAGAGAAGTGCGTACAGCGAACCTGAGAAGATTGGGGTGACACAGAGATCACTTCAAAGTTGATTTTGGACCACTCCACTCTATTCTAAGAAGTGTGAAAGAAGCTATAAAGACAAAGACGAGCTTCAGGAAGCTTTAAAACGAGCACGTGACATGATGTATGTGATGGGCATTACTAACGTTCAGCAATTCTTTCCGGCTCTCGTTCCAGGCATGTGGTACAGTTCATTTCCCCACCACTTACAACATGAAGCGTGGTCACGTGACAGCTTTGGGCAATGAAACGTAAGTGGAAGTAGTATGTGTCACATCCAAGTGGAAGCTATGAGAGCAGTTTTTGGTTTGGCACATTCTCTTCCTTTTCTGAGGCGATCAGAGAAGAACACCTTGAGTGGGAATTTCCAGGAGGTTTCGGAGAGGCTATGTTAAGCAGAGTCCCCTTCCCTTTGTCACATCCCTATACCCTGTGGTGAATATGTAGTGTAAATAGCAGGGGGAAAAAAAGTCTCTGTAAGACTCCGAAGCTTGGGGACTGTTTGTAACTGTCCCCAAAGTATCCTTCCTGATACAATGTACAATTTTAAATGGAACTCTCACAACATAAAAGATGGATTTCAGAGGAGAGAGCTTGCAGGGGGCTAGCTAGAAGGCTGCGTAATCCGCAGACGATGAATGCAGACACCAAGGCATTAGAGCTTAGAAAAGCAGTGAAAGAATCTGGAGATGTAACGGCAAGAACTGACATGTGTTGATAATGACTCTGAGATTCTAAAAGGACCTAAGAGTCTAACTATTCTAGAGGTGTTGAAAAGAGAAAGTTCTTGAAAGAAGAAGGATGACTAAGTGGGAAGATGAAGTAAAAAAAAAATTATTTTAAAAATTAGTTAAGATTAAATTTAATCTTTTAAAAAGAGAAAAGGAGCTACAAGGCAGCCAGGCAAAGCGCAACTCATCAAAAGCAGAGGCCCATCTCTACACAATGAAGGCTCTAGAAAGATCATGAGCTTTGGAAGAAAACAGACCTGGGTGTGAATCCTGAGTTAATTTGTCAACTCATCCAGCTTCATTCATTCACCGAATAATACACAACTTCATTCATTCATTCATTCAACAAGAGTAAAGAAAACCAACAAGGCCCCTGATTTAATGGGGCTCACATTCAAATGCAGGGGAGCCAACACTACACATTTAAGCTCTGTGTAGAAAACAGAAATCATATTGTGATTATGAAAAGGGGGCAAAACTAATAATATAGGCTTGTCAAAGGCAATGACCACTTACTTCATTTTGTTCAAAACTTTCATCTAGAACCAAAGTCAAAAGTAGAGATCTCTGTGTCCTTTGTACACACAAAAAGAACTAACTCCACTTCCCTTTTGCTTTATCACATTTAAAGAACCAACTGTGAAAAAATCAAATCCCTTGACCCCAAGATTATTTTTTTTAATCAATAATTCTGGTTGACACCACCTAGTAAGCATACCAAACGCTGTACGCAAGGAGGGTGTATGTATGTGGTGGTGAAGTGACGAATGTGTGGTTAAGTATGGCTCTTAGACAAGCCACTTCTCAATGTCTGTCTGGTGCTGATGAATCACCTGGTAAATGCAGAGCCTGATTCAGTGGGGCTGGGGTAGGGCTGGTAGTCTGCGTTTCTAGCCATCTTTCCAGGATGCCCATGCTGTTGCTTCCAGGGGTGCCAAGGAACAAGTTCTAGATGCCTTAGTAGTCCATTGACCTCCAGGGAGCTGGTGGGGTGTGCTTGCCCCTTGACCCTTACTACTGAGCTGGGAGGAGAGTCTCTGCCTTGTGCCACCATTTCTCATGCACCTTACTTTCTTTTATGCAACTGGAGATGTGATTGCACGATGTGATTGTCTGGTGAAAACCTTGGACCAAGGGCTTCTAATTGGTCACTGTGTTCAATTCCTACCACTCCTTGAGGCAGGTACCGTGATGCTGCTCACTGTACAGAAGAGAAGACCCCAGCCCAGAGAGGTTAGGTCACACCAGTAAGTGTGGACAGGATCCACAATCCAGAGCCCACTGCAGAGACCAACGTCTTAACCACAGCTTCCTCCTTACTGTGTTTACATCACAAGTTTCTCTCCTGCTCTCTTGTGGCATCAGAAGTGACTTGCAGTTGACTGTGGCCCACATTCCAAAGCTGATAAAGCCAAGCCTGGTCTTCCATCAAAATGACTTGGTTTCAGGAAAAAGCAATTAAAACCTAAATCGGGAAATATTCTGGGATTTGGCAAAAAGAAGGAACATTTCACACTATTATTAAGGGTTTTTTTATTCCCAGGAAGCAATGCAAGTTCGTGTAAAAGTATCATACATCTCGGAATTCTTGGACACTTGTTTCATCAAAAGAGCACCTGATGTCCTATATAAAAGACCTCCCTGTCAATAGGAAGATGTTCCTATGTACCACGCTACAATGTTGTATCCTGGGCCCACATAAGTCTTAATAAAGAGCTTAATGTATATTTAATAAATGTATAATCTTAATAAATATGATGAATATTAAATTTTATTTATTGTATTTATAATACAATAAATCTTAAAGATCTAATGATAAAAATCCTTTTATCATTCTACTAAGAAGAGACCCTAATTCAATGCTGCTAACTGAGATATGCCCGTAAAACAGTGGCTCTCAAACTTGTTTCCACGTGGCACTCTCCAGGGAGCTTTAAAACACACTGATACCTGAGTCCTACCACAGGAGAGTCTGGCGTGCTTGGCTTGGGAGAACCTGGTATCAGGATTTTTAGGAGCACCTTAGGAGATTCTAATGCACAGCCACAGTTGACAATCACAGGCATAAAAAACAGAGAGACGCCTATATTAATTCTATAGCCAAAAAAGGGTGGGCGGGGGGAGCGGCTTCACTCACTCACTGTCAGACTTTTGCCTACCTATGTAGCTACATAGATCTAACATAGTATTAATAATAGACCCCATTCTAATTGCAAGCAAGTGGTTCTCCACAGTCAGTGACCAAACGACACAGTTGACACTGGGTGTGTGATGACAGCACCACTGCTCCCAAGCAGGGCTTCTCAACCTGGAGATGGGATCCAGGGCGTCTGTGAACTTGAATGGGAACAAAACCTACATCCCTAGTTTCACTAACTCTCCTGGAAGCGCCGCAGTCCAACTTCAGCTATGCACACAGACAACAGAGTACAATGGTCTTGGCAGCTCTTGGCAGTTTGCACCTGCAGGTGTTTACATGTCTCGTTTCATAGTCACTACTCTGAGATTAAAGTTATTTAATAGATCTGTTGTTAGAGCTAGGTTTTTAATGCAATATTAATGATGCACGTCTGTTGCTACGTTGTAACTTCAATACTTTGGCAATTGTATTCAAGTAAAACTGATTCTGACTTAATGGTATTGTATGTATTTAATAACATTATTCTGGGGAGGGTCTAAATGCATCAGCAGAGCCAATGTGGTCAGTGGCATATAAAAGTGTACCCGCGCTGCTCTGAGGAGGGTGCCCTAACAAGCCAGATAACTGCCTGTTTTCATCCCAGGCCACCTCCAAGAAGGGTACTCTCAGGAGGGAGACACCCCAGACGAAGTTGGCTCTCGGTTTCCCCTGCATTTCCGCTGATAAGATTTCGCCTGAAAAGCCAGTTCAACGCAGCAGAGAATAGGATAGGCATTCTCTCCCCTCAGCTGCCTCTTGCTCTTGGCATTACGGAGTGCCCAGCCTGCCAGGCTGGTGGTAACCTGAGCTTTCAAATTAATCAAAACACACAGCGCCCAGTTCAAGCTGAGGCAGACAAGCCGGGGAGCCAGACGCGTTCTCCTCTGGTGACCCCCGGGCCCCAACTCCCCAGCCCAGCCAGCCAACCCGCGCGCACCCCACCTGAGATGCCGTGCCTCCTCCACCTCCTGCCGCCCAGGCAGGTGGCCCGGGCCCTGGGGCAGCGATTGCTCAGATTGGGTCGTGGGCGCCTTACCTCGGGAGGCCGCCCACAGCGCAGGAGCCGCCTCGCCCGTCGCCGCCCCGCGGTGCACACCTCCCGGCTCCGCCGCGCCCGGATCCGGCGCGACGCGGCTGCCCCTTCACTGCGCTCTGACCGCCCAGTTCGGCCGCGGCCAAGTCGGAGGCGCGCTGGGGAAAGGGAACGCGGCGAGATGGCACCGCAGGCAGCCGGGAGCCAGCGGGGTCGCCTGCGCGCCGACGTCCGGGGCACCTCCCGACTCATCTGGGCACGGCCGCTGGCCACTCCCTCCGCCCTGCTCAGTCGCCGCGCCGTAGCACACCCCCAAACTTCCCCACCTCCAACCCGCACCCCGCTGCCCTGCCCCACCTTCAAGACCTCGGGAGCATCGCCTCCGTGACCCCGTAGCCCGGATCCGCGCCCGCCTGCCCCTCGGGCGCTCAGCCCTGTCTCTGGTCCTGGGCATGATGCCCGGCTCGGAGGGACAGCGCCTGGGTGGAGGGCGGGGGACGAGGGCGGGACCTGCGCCACTCCCCTCACCACGGAGCCGCCGTCAACAGCCTCGCTGGGGAGGGACGGACGGCGAGGCCGAGCGCCACAAAACCCGCCCCCGGGCCGGCGTGCGAGGGGAGCTTCCCATCCGGACGCCCCGACCCGCGCCGCGCAGGGGACGCGGTGGCTGGAGAGCCTGCGGGTCCCGGACACGCCGGCACTCTGAGCCGGTGCCCACCATGCTCCCGCGGACCGCACCGAAGCCGCCCGCCCTGCTGCTGCTGCTGCTGCTCCTGCTGGTGGCCGCGCCCGCGGCGGGCAAGGTGAGTGCCAGGCGGCGCTGCCTCCTCCCCCTCCCATCCTCCACCCCTCTGTCCCGGGGACACGCGGGCCCCACCCGCAGAGGCGCTGTCCTGGAGCCTCTGCCTGGCGGGTGCGGTGCTAGGGCTCCACGCAGGTCCCTGGGTGGGGATGCCCCCGGGAGCAGGTCGAATTCACGGGACTGAAGGGACAGCCACGGAGGAAACTTGTCGGGTTACCTAGAAGTCAGGGATGGGAGGGAAAGGCCTCCCAAAGTAGGTAGGTAGGTAGGTAGGTAAGTAGATGATAGATAGATAGATAGATGATAGATAGATGATAGATATAGAGATAGATGATAGATAGATAGATAGATAGATAGATAGATAGATAGATAGATAGATAGATAGATAGATAGATAGATAGATAGATGAATGATAGATGTAGGTAGAGGATAACCGCCATGGACGAACACGTGGAATACCGGGTATGGAGACACGCGATGTCACTCACGTTGGTGAATCAGAGCGGGCAGAATGTCTTGGCAGAGAGCACCGAGGTCTGGGCGTGGGAAACCGCGCAGGAGTTCTGGCCGCTTTTAGATGTCGCTTCCCACTGAACCCTGACCTCTCTGGGGCTCGCTCCCTCCTTGTCAAAACGTGCGCTCAATGTTCCATTGCTGGTCGTTGGTATTGTTGGGAAAAGCAAGTGCCGCCAACTGAAAAGTTAAGGCCACCTTAGAGACAGCTCATGTTAGGATAAATTAAACAACCTGTCACTTTGATTTCCGTTTGGAATTTGAAAGATCCCCATTCATTTAAATCAATTTCTTATTCTTTGCAATTAGAGATAACTTGGGTATCCTCAAAATTGTTATGGCTCCTAGAGTTGATTTTAACTTGTGAAAGTGAAATTTAACTTTTCAGATGCCTTCTGTGATTTTTACATTTAAAAAGTTAATTTGGAAAAAATTAGTTTGGAGTGATAATGCAGTTAAGTTTCGTTTCCAAGCATCGGCATATGTTTTACAAATTTCATGGTTGAGGTTATCATTGGAAATTTAAAAATCGCACGCATATGTGTTATGTGAAAAGATGTTTAGAACCTTTGGCCACATGTAATCCAAGTACTTGGCATTTAAATTCAATTTTAAATTAAGACATTACAGATGAAGCTAAAACTCCCATTGATAAGGAGATGTCCATATCTCTCCCCCTCTGCTGTCTAAACAAGGTATCCACTCTGGCCACCTGATGTCTCTTTCACACATTTTCGATGCATTCGCATAGGTGTATGTGGACCTACAAGCAATGTGTATTTCTGTTTGCATTTTTTAAGTGTCATCATGCCATATATATATACAAACGTCCATACCAGCATTTACCAATATTTAAGATAAGTCTACTTCTTTTTCTTTTTGGCCCTGTTGTATAGTTTTCCACAATATGGATATGCCAAAGTTAATTGGGCCTTTCTCCTACGGATTTACATTTAGGTTATTTAGTGTTCTATATTCTAAAGGGTTTTGTAACTCATGTAATCTCTTCATGGAGCTGGTTCTAACAAATGTACTTTGCATAGACCAGGAATGCCCAACCCAGGTAACTCAGCACTTCTGGGCATGATGGATGAAACTCATCCAAGTCCGTGTAGATTGTCTACCAGCTTTAATCCAGGAACAAATAAATCCAACAAGCAAAAAACCTAAAGGAGGTATATGTTGTGGGGAAGTCTGAGGAAAAGTTCCAGAGCAGGGTTTGCACATCTTTCTAGACTCCAAAAGAGAGGAGAGATTAAGGAGGGGAAGAGATAGAAGGGAGGAATTACATGTGTGAAAGATCAGCCAAAAAATGATGCTCTGTGGGCTTGCAACCTCTAATTATACCAATGTTCAATGATATTATCATAGTCCCTTATTATTTTTTACATTTAAAATTTTCTGCCTTGAGTTTGGCCAAATCTCGGTGACTTCTTGCTGATATTATAATTAATCCATGTGTATTATTTTTATCATCACTTGAAGTCAGTCTTTGTTAAAAACTTGTAAGGCTGATCATTTCCATTGCACCTGCTGAATTATTTAATACACAGACAATGTCTTTAGAAACCATAAAATGTGCTTTCATCTTGAAGAAGAAAGGAACTACAAGTTAACTGATAACTAATCAATATGGTGCCAGCATGGCTTCCTCGCTAGGGTAACTGATGTTAGCCAAGGCACAAGACCTCTCCGAGCCTCAGTTTTCTCCTCTGTAAAACAAGGGAGGTAATGGGTGAGGTGGTGGGACAGGTGGCAGTCTCCAGGGCCAACCAATTCTTGGCATTTAGAACTCAGGCTTAGGGATGCCAGAATCCCTGCTTTTTCAGGAGAGAAGCTAGGAATGCAGCTTCTGTTAGAAATTGCTCAAATCCTAGATGTTGGCAAGTAAGTCAAACCTTTACACAACAAAGGCCTGCAGAACACAGGGCCAAACTGCATGAGGGGAAGCCAAACTCAGCCTTTAGGCCATCACGTTTATCATCTTTGTGCTGTACCAGTTAAGGGCATATTTTGTTCTAAATGTCTGCAAATTTACATTAGCATTTTTCAAAACAGGGAGATAGCAGTGGTGTTGACCCCACTTTCCCCGTTCAGACTGGGGTGGAACTGTCCACCAACACAATTTGTTCTGAAGCGCCCTGAGTAAAATTTCTCTGCTGCCTTACTGCAGACATCCAGGCCCAGCCCTGCTGTTCTGCGCATCCCAGGTTTTATAGCTGTTCCCAGGCTCAGCTCACCAACCTGAAACTGGGGGGCACTTTGAGTTGCCACAGACAGTAGGTCTGGGCCTGGAGCCAGAGAGTACTCTTTCTCTGATACCTGGAGGTCAAGTTCAGGCTTTGAGATAACATGGTTTATCCTTCCTCTTTTTTTTGCCCTAAAATTCCAGACAAGGCAGAAATACGGCAAGCCAATATCAGGAGGTTAATAACAGCTGCATTTAGGGAGGATGCTTTCTCAACTGACTTCATTTTTACATTTAAAAACTTAAGTTGAATTAGGGAACATTTCAAACAAACAAAAAAGTAGTGTAACAGACACCAATGTATCTATCCTGGAGACTAGGCAAGTATGAATAAGCTTTGACCTGTTTGCTCTCACATCTCTCCCTTTAGGAAAAACAATATATAAATACAAAAAGTCATACACACACGACAGTCTTTGCTCCCTCTTCCATCCTAGGAGGTTTGTATATAGCTGACCCTTGAACCACTCCGGTTGGAAGTCCATAGATTCTTTTCAAGAAATGCAACGGCCCTTCCTATCTGCATGTTTCACATCCTCTGGTTTCCTATGGGCGTATTCAACCAACCACAACTGAAAACAGTATTTTCGAATTCCCAATCTCAGGGTCCCAGCCGGGAAACGAAAATGCTGTTTTCGATCAGTGGTTGGTTGAGTCCAATGATGGGGAAGGGCCAACTGTAGAGTTAAAAACTACCCACCAAATTGCAATTGCTCAGCAGGGCAATGCCCCAAACCACCGCTCCCTGCCCCCCACATTATTCAAGGGTCAACTGTGTATCATTCCCAGTGCATGGTTTTGTGTTCAAACTCTGTGTGTGTGTGTGTGTGTGTGTGTGTGTGTGTGGTCTGCATAAAAAAATAAACTGATTTGTGGTCCTTCAAATGTAATAAATGGTTTCCCATTATACATACCTATTGGAGCTTGCTTGTGTCACTCAGTACTATGTATTCAGACTTTATCCATGTTGATACATATAGAAGTGGTTTATTTATATACATATGGCTGTAATAGCTGTTGCATAGTATCCAATTATATAAAGCACAGATTATTTTTCCATCCCCCACAAACCCCCTCAAGCTTGTGTCCGTTGCTTTCATTTTACAGAGCGGAAATGTACATCTTTGTATATGTGCTGTTGTGACAACCAGACGTTTAATGCCTAGGTGGAATTCAAAAGGGGTTCAAAGCGAAAGCACATTTTAACTTGTAGTAGGAATTGTCAAATTGAGCCCTAGAAGCGTTGTACCAATCCTATGCCAGAACACCGGTTTCCCCACAGCCTCGGCAAAACCAGGGATGCTCACAGGAGCATGCGTGTGAAATGGGCTCTGGTTTTGACTAGTGAGTCCGTGAATCTTTTTGTATTTTAATTGGCAGTTTATATTTCCTTCAGAGTGAATTGCCTGTAATCATTTTACACATATTAATTATATATTATCTTCCTGATTCTTTTTCTATGATTTCAAGGTCTGGGAGTCTGTCTTGTTTCTTCTGTCTATTGATTCTCACCTATGGGAGGATAATATGAATGAGATATTCAGGGAAAATAAGCCTTCTCTGTCATCACTCAGCCTGCACCTCCCTCCTCCATTGCTCATGGATTGGAGCTGTCCTTCCCTGGGAGAAAAAAAGAGCAAAGTAGTTCCATGGCTTCCAGGGAATTTTCCCCTTTAGGATGGACTTATGTAGTCATGGTCTGTGGGGATGGTGACACCAAACATGCTTCCTTTCATGTTCTCAGTGTCACCCTCCTCCACTCTCCTTCCACTGCCTACTTCCTCC